AGAAGAATGGAGGCGTGATCTGATTTGCCCAAGGGAGGGCAGGGGAGGGCCTTGTAGCCGTCCCGGAAGGGAGAGTAACGATTATCCAGGTTATGTGATGCGCATGTAGCACAGGACATGTGTTGATAGAATTTCGGTAGCATTTTCCTCAGATTTCCTTTATTAAAGTCCCCAGCTACAATAAATGCGGCCTCAGGATATGCGATTTCCATTTTGCACATAGTCCAGTGTAGTTCCTTGAGAGCTGTCACGGTGTCGGCTTGGGGGGAATATACACGGCAGTGATAATGACCGAAGACAAAACTCTCGGTAGGTGATGCATTTGATGGTGAGGTATTTCAGATAGGGAGATGCAGCCAATCAGGTTGAAACTATCAGACCAAGAGTTCCATTTATTTTATGCCCGCTGCATTAGGATCATTGCATTAGTGAAAACCAAGACTGTTCTCAGGGCAGACCTGGTTGTAGCTAGACATGTATTTTGGTGTTTTATTAAGATCCCCATTTGCTGTTGCGAAAGCAGCATCTACTCTTCCTGGGGTCCACACAAAACATGAAACATGACATAATACAGAACATTAATAGACAAGAAAAGCTCAAGGACAGAACTACATCAATTTTTTAAAAGGCACACGTAGCCTACATATCAATACACACAAACTATCTAGGTCAAATAGGGGAGAGGCGTAGTGCTTGAGGTGTTGCTTTATCTGTTTTTTGAAACCATGTTTGCTGTTCATTTGAGCAATATGAGATGGAAGGGAGTTCCATGCAATAATGTCTCTATATAATACTGTACATTTTCTTGAATTTATTCTGGATTTGGGGACTGTGAAAAGACCCCTGGTGGCATGTCTGGTGGGGTAAGTGTGTGTGTCAGAGCTGTGTGTAAGTTGACTATGCAAACAATTTGGAATTTTCAACACATTAATGTTTCTTATAAAAAGAAGAAGTGATGCAGTCAGTCTCTCCTCAACTCTTAGCCAAGAGAGACTGGCATGCATAGTATTTATATTAGCCCTCTGATTACAATGAAGAGAAAGACGTGCCGCTCTGTTCTGGGCCAGCTGCAGCTTAACTAGGTCTTTCCTTGCAGCACTCGACCACACAACGAAAAGTAACTTCTGCTAGTCAGACCCGCCCTGAGAACAGTCTTGGTTTCCACTAATGCAATAGAGCGCTGCATTAGGTTACGGTGAAAAAACTGCTGCAACCTTATTGGCTGTTCCCAGTCCGCCCCAGTTGAGATGTGTGTACTTTGTGCCCCCTCTAAAATAATGGGTGTATGATGCCCCTGATTACAGTGTGGGAATTGTAAGAAAATAAGGACAGTTAGAGGAGAGATGTCTTTCTGGCTGTCGGGTTTGTTGTTGTGTTTCAGTATTTTATGAAAAAGTAATGTAAAATGATTAATCTAGGGCCACACAACTGTACCCTCGGTCAGATAAAATCCCTAAACACATGTACAGGGCAGACCTCCACATCAGTTTCAATTTCCGTATCTGTCAGTGGGCTACAGGCAATTATTTTATTTGAAATTAATTGTTTGGGATTAAAGTGAACTGGGACTGGGTTGACTAAAGACTAAAAGCTGGATGCAGTCAGTACATATCCTCTTAACATTCAGAACAGAGAGGAACACATTGTATCTGACAGGGGTTTGGGCCAGCCTTTTAGTATTCACAAGAGGGAGTCCTGCAGTCCCTTACGTTGCACAAATAGCAGCTATACTCTCAGAGGAATAAATTGAGTATAATAAACTGCCTGTGCACTGGGCAGTATGCTATGAGGTGTTTGGTGACAGATGGGTGAATGTGTGCGCCTTGTTCCTGACTGTGCCCAGTACTTGGCAAACATATAGCTTTGCCAGTCTGTGTGCTGGGAGTGTTTAACCAGGCCAGTGCAGCCTGTCTCTCAGTCTCCCTTCCAACCCTGCATCCTCAAGAGCCATCATCCTCACCAATCATTTGAGGCTCCTTTCGCACTCACTTTCCTAATGCATCAACGCACCTTTAGGCCAATGTACTAGTAAACTTTGGAGATAGTAGTAGTCCCATTTTGACATTATATTGTTGTATTGTAAGTATTTGCCACTTTTGGTTATTTCTCATTGCATTGAAACTCACAGCATCTTTGTATTATGAGTAATATGGTCATTAATAATTTTAAATAATAACCTGACATTGCAATTTTAAATAATTATTCCATGTTAATACTGAGAGACATGTTATGTAGCACACATGATATGAACTGTGCTCCAAACTCTAGACTTTATGCAGGGCAACTAATATAGAGTATTTTCATTATCATATCCACCGCTATCAACACTCTTGATGTCCATATAGTATATTATAGTGAATAACTTATCCCAACAACAATAATGTAATAATATCCAGCCCAATCCGTTGGATGTTTTTGGAAGCAGTATATGGCTAAACCTGTCTATTGGTAACTGACTGACTTGAATTTCCATGCCTGGCACAGCATCGGGGATGCAATAAAATATACTTCAATAGAGGGAAATATTGCACAGATTCCCTCTGTGTAGCCAGATTTTACAGACGTTTTATTACATTAGAACTGTGAAAAGACAGCAACCCTCCTGCATAAACAAAGACCCAAACAATTAAAGGAAACATCCATGTATTTGAAAAATGATGTTATGAGGCTATTGGTGCGGATGTTTTTAAGTGTTGCTGTACCATTTGCTAAGCATCAGATCAATCATTATCGCACTTTCATAAATAGTCAAGGACATAACTTTCCAAATTAATGCACATTTGATTAATCACAAATGACAGATGTACTCCATAAGGGCAGCGATGCCTGCGGATCAATAAAGACTAGCAAATACTGAAATTAAAAACACCAGGAGAAAGCCAAATAATTACAATCTTGTATGTTAGATTGAACTTCATGACTCTCTGCCGACTTACTGTAGCAGGACAAAGTCATATCACCAAGTTAATTAATTATCATGAACATTTGGTCATTTCAAAGGGCAATACATAGAGTTGACTAGGAAAGGATGTTTTAGATTAGAATAGTGGTGAGCCACAGTGTATATGTTAAGTGTACAGTAAGGACACATAATGAAGATAATGTACTATGAGGTACGGACATTAGTAGACACTTGCTGGATGCCACAGATTTCAAGGCCAATGTGACAGATGGAGGGAGTGAATAAGGACAACCAATAAACAAGTATCTCATGGTGGTACTGTATACAGGCCATATCCACTCTGCATAATGTTGGAGATCCAATCTGAGAGGGAATCCATGCATACTGGGAAATACTACTTCAGCACAGTTAACTTAAAGTTCTCAACCTGTGTCTGTCCTTTTTCATTGTCTGGTCTACAGGTAGCCTACGTGGTTTTCAAACCTCTCCTCGGGGACCCCCAGAGGTTTCACTTTTTCTTATTTTTCTGAACTAGCTCACCTGATTCACCTATTGAAGGGCTTGGTTAATAGTTCACAGGTGGAATCAGGTGTGCTAGCTGTGGAATAGTTAAAAGTGGAATAGTTAAAATACATGTAGCAGTTGTGGTTTGAAAACCCCAGGCCTACAGCACAATTTTCCAAACCAGCAGGAGAATCCCTCAGCAGGTGGCACTGAGGACAAAATGTGCTCTGCTATTCCAGGGGGAAGCAGGTTTCAGTATAGCAGCTCTGTTGGTATAATGCCTGATACCCAGCTGTTAATTCAGACTGACAACAGGCAGATATCTAGCCGACTAATGGCAGATGGGACTGGAATCCCAGCTTTATAGAGATAAACAATGCCCACTGTGGAGAGGGAGGGAGAGACACACTCAAATTAGTATGATATGTTACGTTTGATATGTATTAATTTGTAGATGTCCATCATCCATTTCGTATAATATATTACGAATTACAATTCGTACAATATGTTAAGAATTTGCAATACTTATGATGTGTTATGAATTCCAATATGTTGTGTTTAACGTTAGCTAGGTGGTTAACGTTAGCTAGGCTAGGGTTTAAGGTTAAGGTTAGGAGTTAGGTTAAGGCTAGGATTAGGGGAAGGGTTAGCTAACATGCTGAGTAGTTGCAAAGTAGCTAAAAAGTAGTAAGTAGTTGAAACGTTGCTAATTAGCTAAAATGCTAAAGTTGTCTGTGATGAGATTTAAACACGCAACCTTTGGGTTGCTAGACATTTACGTTATACACAACCCATCCACCTTGACCAACCATACTCCTTTCATTTTTGCCTTAAGTAACCTTCTGTCTCATGTAACCATACCAAACATATCATACTAATTTGAGTGTCCCGGATTTTCATTTACTTTGGTTTTAATGATCTAGTCTATGAGACCAGGCTATTAGACATCACATGTAAGGAGCATTCAGTCCTTCTAAAGTACATCTGTAATGTGACAGTGGGCCTTGTCTGCCCTCTAGTGGTACTATATTACACTTACAAAAATGATCTGTATGGCCCGCAGCATTTATGATACTGTGTGTGTGAACTTCTATAAATTCAGTTTAGAGCTTCTGTGAAAATGATCAAGCCGAAATAACATCCAGTTTTTTTCTTTGATTTACACACTTATGATGCACACTTAGTTAGAAAGTAATTGCTGCACAGGAAATTGGTATATCAACAAGTCTTCAAGTCTAAAATGTAAATAAATGTCTTCAAGTTCAAGAGGTTCTTTATAACCATTGCACATATAATGGCATTTCCATGTGCCAACTCTCATGGGATATAATGGAATTTTCCGTCTTACAGTACTACGTCACAACAAAATACTGTACATGAAACAAGCATGGAGTGAGTTTGTGGACAAATGCACTGTTCTGCACTGTGACACTCGCCAGTGACATCCGGTGACCAATAGAATAAACATCAGTGTTGACCAACCAGCCAATCAGCTGGCATTGCTCTTTTCACCTACTCCCACAGTGAAAATCAACAAATGAAGTCTGTCACTGATCAACTACTGCCCCTGATGTTTAAGTAAACTCGTTTGCCACTTCCCAATTTGGCTGGGTCTCATCAGACTTGGCTGGAAGGAAAATCTTGGTCCTCTTCCTCCGATAGATATATAGCAAGGCCAGGTAGTGTGTGGTGTGGTCCCACAGGGAGAGGAGAGGGGAAACATGACAGCCTTGGCGCTGCTCTGTCTGCTGTCAGTGCTGCCAGGCTCCACAGCAACACTAATGAGATCTCCATTGGAGGAGGTAAGTGGAAAACACAGGGATGTGGTTGGTGATTCTTCTGTTTGTGACATCTGCAAAGTACATTGACCTCCTCAACTTGCGCTGTTTATTGTCCTGCGGAAATCTCTACCTACAGAGAGACAGATCACAGGTTTCACAGGATCTCAGTTGTATGAGACACTTTTAAAAAAACCTTAGTGACATTTTTCAGGGGTTCTCTAGAGATATTATTCTTGTTCAGTTGATTGTGCTCGCCATGGACATAGGCCAACTGTAATCTGTCATACTGTATACAAACCAGGAATGGATCAGTGAATCTAATCTGCATGTTGCTGAAGGCTCACAAAAGACCCCAACATTTAATTTGTATCCCCTCCCCAGCTATTTCTGCACTCCCTGGAACAAAAGGACATGGTGTTTTATTTTGGTACTGCCTCTGCTTCCTCAGGTATGACTGAATAATGACACAGTTTCCATACAGTTAGTGAGCTACTGAACCATTATGGTGGATACAATAATTCACATACAGTATTGTAACCTTTCTCACCCCAGTGCCTGAGTTTCAGCTCATCTGGACAGACTGTGCCTCCACGGAGCTCCACACTGGCCCCTGGCGATGCTCCTTCGAGGCCCAAGGGAAGCGCTTTGTGTTGGGGCCCGGGGAGAGGAAGCAGTCCCTCTTCTGTCAGTCCACATTAGAGACAGCTCGGAACACCACTCTCAACGTCATAAGGAAAAGTCATGCCATGTGTTGTCAGCAGGCCAAAGTTCTACATCCTCCTTCAACTAAAGGATTTCTCACCATCTGTGCCAGGAAAATGGTAAGTTGTTTCCAAGTTAAGACATAAACAATTCTACAGTTTACTTATTTATTTCAGCTGTTATTCTGTCTTTAACATCCATCATTCTCTTAAATGGATTTGGATTGCAAATGTTTTTCTATTTCCAACAGCAAGGCCTGGTTGTTGCAGGTAAAGAGAAGGAGAGACTATACATTCAGTCAGTGCTTCAGAAACACATTCATCTGACTGAAGCCAGAAACTGTTCCAGTCCAGGAACACCTCATCTGGTGTTCCACCAGCCATTTACTGCCGGAGGCCCCCCCAGACACTCTCCCAGTCAGTGTTCAAACATTATAGCATTGTATTTAATGTTTCATACTTCATCCTCACACATTCTATCAGCATACTGCTCTTTTTGTCTTCATCCTGACAGTGAAGAGGCTGCGTCGCCGACGGTCAACCATAATGCCTGAGATGACCCACCTGGAGCTGCTAGTGGTGGTGGCGCCTGATGTGCAGCTGGTCCACAGGCAGGACACAGAGAGATACATCCTCACCAACCTCAACATTGTGAGTTTGTCTGTCTGTCTGCCTGTTTGCCTGTTTGCCTGCCTGCCTGTCTTTGTCTGTCTGTATCTGTTTGCGTGAGGTATCTGAATGATTATTGAAAGTGGTTATTCTGTGTTGCTCTTATGGTGTGTCCTGTTATCTTCCCACAGGCCTCAGAGCTGCTGAGGGACATGACACTGGGAGCCAACATGAGAGTGCATCTGGTCCGCATGATCATCCTCTCAGAACCAGAGGTCAGTGTCTGACAATGTCTGTCCACCCCACACCACACCACACACACCTGGGTGGGCCAGTCTGCCATTGAGGCCTGGCTGAGGAGCCAGAAGAAAACTTTCCTCTCTGTTTGCTATGTTCTCGCTTTCAGCCAGAGATTAACATCTCCACCAACATCTCCTTGTCTCTGAGGAGTGTGTGTGAGTGGGCCAGAAGGGTCATCCCCTCTAATGACACGGACCCCCTGCATGCTGATCTTGTGTTATACATCACAAGGTAGGTCATTGTACTTTATCCTGTGCTATTTTTTCAAGTGGAATGGTACTCTGTCTAAAGATATAAGATGTGTATCATTGTAAGTCTTGCGGTTTTACTTTACTGTAATGTGTTTGTCCTCAACCAGATTCGATCTGGAGCTGCCCAATGGGAACAAGCAGGTGAGGGGTGTGGCCCAGCTGGGCGGGGCATGTTCTAGCCAATGGAGTTGTGTGATCACAGAGGACACAGGCTTTGATCTGGGCATCACCATCGCTCATGAGATAGGCCACAGGTAATTTGAAAAGGAAAAGGTGCAACGCTCACTCACAATTAAAAACAGATTATTTTATTTAAGCAACTATTAAAAGCTTAGGCCACAGGTAAGACATAGTGGCATGAGATAGGCCACAGTTAAGACATAGTGGCGTGAGATAGGCCACAGGTAAGACATAGTGGCATGAGATAGGCCACAGGTAAGACATAGTGGCATGAGATAGGCCACAGGTAAGACATAGTGGCATGAGATAGGCCACAGTTAAGACATAGTGGCATGAGATAGGCCACAGGTAAGACATAGTGGCATGAGATAGGCCACAGGTAAGACATAGTGGCATGAGATAGGCCACAGGTAAGACATAGTGGCATGAGATAGACCACAGGTAAGACATAGTGGCATGAGATAGGCCACAGGTAAGACATAGTGGCATGAGATAGGCCACAGGTAAGACATAGTGGCATGAGATAGACCACAGGTAAGACATAGTGGCATGAGATAGGCCACAGGTAAGACATAGTGGCATGAGATAGGCCACAGGTAAGACATAGTGGCATGAGATTGGCCACAGGTAAGACATAGTGGCATGAGATTGGCCACAGGTAAGACATAGTGGCATGAGATAGGCCACAGGTAAGACATAGTGGCATGAGATAGGCCACAGGTAAGACATAGTGGCATGAGATAGACCACAGGTAAGACATAGTGGCATGAGATAGGCCACAGGTAAGACATAGTGGCATGAGATTGGCCACAGGTAAGACATAGTGGCATGAGATTGGCCACAGGTAAGACATAGTGGCATGAGATAGGCCACAGGTAAGACATAGTGGCATGAGATAGGCCACAGGTAAGACATAGTGGCATGAGATAGGCCACAGGTAAGACATAATGGCATGAGATAGGCCACAGGTAAGACATAGTGGCATGAGATAGGCCACAGGTAAGACATAGTGGCATGAGATAGGCCACAGGTAAGACATAGTGGCATGAGATAGGCCACAGGTAAGACATAATGGCATGAGATAGGCCACAGGTAAGACATAGTGGCATGAGATAGGCCACAGGTAAGACATAGTGGCATGAGATAGGCCACAGGTAAGACATAGTGGCATGAGATAGACCACAGGTAAGACATAGTGGCATGAGATAGGCCACAGGTAAGACATAGTGGCATGAGATAGACCACAGGTAAGACATAGTGGCATGAGATAGGCCACAGGTAAGACATAGTGGCATGAGATAGGCCACAGGTAAGACATAGTGGCATGAGATAGACCACAGGTAAGACATAGTGGCATGAGATAGGCCACAGGTAAGACATAGTGGCATGAGATAGGCCACAGGTAAGACATAGTGGCATGAGATAGGCCACAGGTAAGACATAGTGGCATGAGATAGGCCACAGGTAAGACATAGTGGCATGAGATAGGCCACAGGTAAGACATAGTGGCATGAGATAGGCCACAGGTAAGACATAGTGGCATGAGATAGGCCACAGGTAAGACATAGTGGCATGAGATAGGCCACAGGTAAGACATAGTGGCATGAGATAGGCCACAGGTAAGACATAGTGGCATGAGATAGGCCACAGGTAAGACATAGTGGCATGAGATAGGCCACAGGTAAGACATAGTGGCATGAGATAGGCCACAGGTAAGACATAGTGGCATGAGATAGACCACAGGTAAGACATAGTGGCATGAGATAGGCCACAGGTAAGACATAGTGGCATGAGATAGACCACAGGTAAGACATAGTGGCATGAGATAGGCCACAGGTAAGACATAGTGGCATGAGATAGGCCACAGGTAACACATAATGGCATGAGATAGGCCACAGGTAACACATAATGGCATGAGATAGGCCACAGGTAAGACGTAGTAATAAAGTAGTGCCATAGTCAATAGCATGGGATGAGCTACAGTTAGTAATCTTCGCTTCTTTCCCCCCAGCTTTGGTATAAACCATGATGGGATCGGTAACACATGCAGCAGCAGTGGCTTTATGATGGCCTCTGATGGAGGCTACAACAGTGTGGATCTCACCTGGTCCCAGTGCAGCAGACAGCAGCTGTACACATTCTTCAGGTAAGCATGCCAGCTGTTACTCACATGGACTCTTAATATGAACTGTTCATCATAAGTAGAGTACTCTGCAGAAATGTAATAATGGTCAGTGGTACTGTATACAACACATTGAGTATTGTATATTCTGGTGATGAGAGTAAGATACGTGTTTGTAATGCTATTCTAGTGAAGGCAAGGCTGACTGTGTGAAAGACTTGCCTGTCCTGGTTGGCTCTCTGCAAGACTGGAAACCAGGCCTTTACTATGGAGTGGACGACCAGTGCCGGATAGCGTTTGGTAGCACCGCCAGGGCCTGCTCCTTCACCAACACTGACCTGGTAAGGGACACATTATGACATTAATGGCAGCCACTTCTGTGATTATACTATCATTGGTTATACTGTAGTAATAAGACTGGTTATAGAGTATGTTGATAGTATCTATAGCTCTGTCTGGGTAAGGCTTTCCCAGTGTTAATTCTCTCCTCCTGTCAGCCTGTGTGCCGTGTTCTCTCCTGCCACATCAAACCTGATGACAACAGCTCATGTAAACGCCTGCTGGTGCCTCTGTTGGATGGGACAGAGTGTGCACCCAACCAGGTACAGCCTTTTTTTATCACTAGTCACATTCAATCACTATGGCTATGTTTGGTCCAGTCAATGAGCCAAATGTTACAATGACGAAAATATGACTGTTGCTCAAAGTATGCAAAATCTGTGTTGTGAAATGAAAGCAGCCCTGACCTCTAACTCTGCATGTCCTCTAGTGGTGCCTGAAGGGCCGCTGTGTGTCCCCAGACCAGCTCAGCTCCTCTTCCTCTGTGGTGGTGCACGGCTCCTGGTCCAGCTGGTCCCAGTTCTCCCCCTGCTCACGGACATGTGGTGGGGGCGTCACTTCCCGGACCAGGCAATGCAACAACCCACGGTAACAACAAACAACAAACGTCTTTGTTAGTCAGTTCCAATTACAACACTAATTCTCATGACTCCTCCCAAGGTCAAGTGGTACATTTCTGGCAAATGAGATTAGCCAAACAGTTTATTATTCTTGATGGATGTCTTCATGATTTTAATTTTTTTAATGTTTTCATTTCCAGACCTGCATTTGGTGGGAATGATTGCAAGGGCAGGGATACGGAGGCTGAACTTTGTCACCAGCAGGTAAAACTCCACAGGTCATCTTTATGTTTACAGTGGGCCTCCGTAGGTCATTTTTACAAGGTACATTGTTGCACCATTTATTCTGTTTCTGTGAGTACTGTAAGTGTATGTATGCAAACACATGGAGCGATTTCAGTGCCAAGAGAAATTGTATTTGAATTCCATACTTTGTTAGGATATTGAATTTGAATACAATATTTTTTATTTGTAATGCACAAATTGAATCATTGAATTCATAAATTGAACTTGTATTTCATGATTTGAAAATTAATTGAATGAATATTGCATACAGTTTTAAAATTCAATTTCTATTTAACTGAATATTCAAATTCAACATTTACATATTCAGTTTCAATATGGTAGATATTGCATTAATTTTCTGTGTATCAAGTTTACAAACTAACATTCAGATTCAGTTTTAAAATTCAGTTCTCTAAATTCAGATTCAAAACTAGAGACAACATCCTGGTCCTTTGCCAGCCAGGAAAGGTAGTGGCAGCACAGAAATAACCAAATGCTCTCTGTGGTAAACAAAAGCTTCTAGCAGTTTCTGTGTATCAAGTTTACAAACTAACATTCAGATTCAGTTTTAAAATTCAGTTCTCTAAATTCAGATTCAAAACTAGAGACAACATCCTGGTACTTTGCCAGCCAGGAAAGGTAGAGGAGCACAGAAATAACCAAACGCTCTCTGTGGTAAACAAAAGCTTCTGGCAGTTTCTGAAGCCAATGTGGCATGTTGAATTTATTTTCTTCCTATGAATTTGACTCTAGCGTTTAACCTTTTTGGCTATAAGCGATTATGACCCCATTCCTGAAAGCTTAGACTCTCTGGAACATGGGTAACTTGTCTGAGACCTGAAAAGTTGCATTGTCTGGAGCACAGGAGACCTGGGTTAGAACCCCATCAGTCAAACTAACACACCTTCAGGTCTTAGACAAGGTTGCATATCATATTCATGGATCACCAAACTACCTCTGTTGCACTCTCCTTAAATGGGGTGAACAGATCTGTCTGCTTCTGTTTGCCACAGAAAGTGTTGTTGTTGGGCAGTAGGCCTGATTTCGAACCTAGTTAGTTATATTGGTGCCGTGATCTCTGAGTATGAGTCAAAAGTGTTGTGAAATGTAACCAAGGTGGTTAGATGAACCATGCTCTTTTGATGAGTAACCTTGCTGGAGACTTGAGTTAGCTTCCTGAACTCGTCCCTATGGGCTTTAGCTAAGTGGGCTAACACAGTCTTGTGACATGCAGGAGACCTGGTTTGAACCCAGTCAGAGCAAGATTAAATAAGGAGTGGAAAGGCTATCCTTAGAAGGGCAATGACAGGGCTATTCAACTATATTCTTATCGGGGCCAAACTGCGGTTTTTGTGACACTCCCTTTCAATGTTCCCTCTCATTTTGGGGGGCACTGAGCAAATTTCAGGTCTGCAAATTTGAACATTGTGAAAATTCTGTGCAACTTCCAGCGCGCGTTTACTGTGAACACTGAGGCGGTACCCACTTTAAGTTACAGTTTTAACAGTGGTCAAGTAGGCTACTGTGGCTATCTGATCATAATGTGGGCCTACCAGAGTGGCCTACAATAGAATAAAATCCATCTCATAACATTTTAACATGGAAATAGCTGTTCTATCAGTCAGCCTACAGTAGCAGCCAATGTGTGGTGTTCAATGTAGGCCTACATTCCATGAGACTTTTGAAAAAAACCTGCAGGGCTTGACATTAACCTGTTTATCCACTTGTCATTCAGACAAGGAGGTGACTGAAAATGTTGTTGTGTTTTTTGATGCAAGAAACCACTTTACAAAATAAAATGCATTATTATTCCCATACCATTATTACAGAGAATCAGACAAATTATGCTACCCTCTGCCTATTGGCTACTTAGCTTATTCAAGCCTGTTTCAAAAAACAACGCTGCCCCTTTAAGATCAAAAATAGCTCTTTACCTGACTCGAATTTCAAAGATGTCTAGAAATGTACATGTTTTGTGCTCTTGTAGGAAGTAATCACTCCCCTATTGCTGACTACAAATTATCTATAACTGAGCTAATAACTCACTAACTAGCAAAGGATATGAACAAAATGTGTACACGTGGCTACATGCAGCTCTCGCTTTAATCTCAAAACAAGTGCATCTACTCACGACCGCTCATGCTGTAAACACAGTCCAGTTCAAGGTAAATGGCAAAGATTCATATATGACAATGGTCTATTTGCATATAGGCCTACTGCAACTCTGATTGGTTAGCCGCACAGTTCTGTGTAGAGTACGGGCTGAATCCTACTCCGATGCGTTCTGCCTACAACAAAATCTCTTGCATAGTTCATTTTGTTTCGGTATGTTGCATTGGAAGTGGCTAATATTGCGTTGATTTGATCAGAATTGGCACAGTAAAGGGAAAGTGTTAACAGGGAAAACTCTAGAACAGTGGTCACCAACCTTTTCTGAGTCAAGATCAATTTCTGAGTCAAAATGCAAGCCAAGATCTACAGTTCATTATTATTTTTTAAACATGACTTAAAACACATAAGCCTATGCATCATTAACCAATTAAGTACAGTATTGTAGCAATTAAGTTTGTGCAGTAAGCTAGAGGCCCAATACATTATCACTGCATATTGGCTTTGCTTGAATTACCCTGCTAATGCGTTGTTGTTCGGGCCATTTTTTTGAGGTAGTCTATATGATCACACCGGTAATAGATCTGTGGTTGTATTACTTGTGAGGCACAGCTGAGTGAGCATACATTTAAATCATTAGCTTTTTATTTTTATTTCACTGGGCTGATGGTGCCTGCATCTGATGATCAGTCTCAGCGGAAGGAGAGAGCAGCAGACTGAGGGTCCGCCTCTCAACATCCCTCTGCTCTCCCGCTGACCAAAAATGTCTTCCAGTTGATGGCAAAACTCGATTCGCACCAAATTATTTCTGCCTCATGCACAAATTCATGTCGTTACTCCTGTGAACAGAGAATGTGAAATATTCCTTGATATTAAAAAAGACGCAAGCCGCTAAACATAACAACAACGCAAGCCTATCGATACACTTTCCTACTCATTTATTACTGCTGCAGTGCTTGTTGTAGTGTTGAGTGGAAATAGGAAGAACGCGCATTTTATGGCTTATAAAAGTGCTCAATACAACATTTTGACAGTGCTGAGTAAAAACTTAAACATGAACTCACTCATAAAAACAGCAGCTCTTTGCTGTATTTGTTGACAATCTCTCTCTAGTCATGGTTTTAAACATTTTAAAATCTCACAGTATCAACTTTGCTGTAGCTTTCTTTTATGCCTGCTATGTTACTGCAGACACAGTAATCTGAGCCATCTGATTGGCCAGCGGTAAGCCTATAGTGCACTTGATTTGCTTTCCAGGCCCGCTGGGAAGGCAAAGTTTGTACCTTCAGACACAAAATGGCAACAGTTCGACCTACCCGGCACGCAGGGCAGCTGAATCGGGTGCACCTACCGCCAACAGCCCGTGACAAATAAAAATAAATAGGAACACAAGGCTTTATCGTTGGGTTTTTTACAGAAATGTTTGGAATGCTAGGAATGCCTTGGATATTGACCAGTCGATTGCGATTGACAGGTTGGTGACCACTGCTCTAGAAAGTTGAGTGAAATTCAATCTCGTGCTTCTCTCAGTGGCTGATATTTATTCTGCGCGGGAGTCCCGGGGGCAACTGCGCGCCCGCGCATGCGTGCAGTTTAGAGGGAACATTGCTCCCTTCTAAAATGTCCTGTTCGTCATTTCAAAAGAAACATTGTTTCAACCAGTGTGTGCCCAGTGGGAAGGCATGTTCATGTTCCAGAGAGTCTAAGCTTTCAGCAATGGGGTGTAAGCATAATAGCTTATAGCCAAAACGGTTCAAACGCTAGTGACAAATTCATAGGAAGACAATAAATTCAACATTAAAAAAAAAACTGTGTTTTAGTCATTTAGCAGACGCTCTTATCCAGAGCGACTTACATTATTTTTTTAATACTGGCCCCCCGTGGGAATCAAACCCACAACCCTGGCGTTGCAAGCGCCATGCTCTACCAACTTAGCTACACAGGGCCCATATTGGCTTCAGAAACAAGAGGCTTCTGTTTACCACAGAGAGCGTTTGATTATATATTTTCTCCTCTACATTTGCTGGCTTGCAAAGTATCAGGGGGTTGTCTCGGGTTTTGAATCTGAATTTTAAAAATCTATATCCAAAATTATGGAATTCAAATACAATTCCTGAAATTGCTCCATACACATGCTTTGGAGTGGAATGAGGGGAGTTGAATTGGAAAGAGTAAAGTGGCTTCCCTTCAAAAGATTGTTATGATCGAAAGTTCAATTGGTCGTCAAAAGGATGTTAACTGAATCAAAGGGTGTGAACTCAACAAGCAATGTTCCGCATTCCTCCCCGCACACTATGCTGTCTGAGTAGCAGTGTGAAAGGACCCAGCTGGCCTTCATGGCAGAGCAGTGCTCCCAGACAGATCTCCAGCCCCTGTACTTGTCCCCCAACACGGCCTCCCTCTACACCTGGATCCCCGCTGTCGGCTTTGTCACAGGTGGGCCAAGACACCTCTCCAATGGGGAATGGTGGGGTCACTGGGGTGGAGGGCAATAAACAAAGGGCAAACTACTACAGTACTGACTTTTTACATTCTCCCTCCACTGTATCCCTCTGATTGTCCCCTATGACCAGGGGATGAACAGTGCAGGTACATGTGCCAGTGTAAGGGAGAGAACTTCATTGTGAGCCGTGGGTCTCAGTTTGTGGATGGGACTCGGTGTGAATCAGACAGTCCAGCTCCCCTGGGTGCCACGACAGCTTGTCTAGGAGGGACGTGCCAGGTAAAGGCCTGCTTCGGTTTCTCCACCTTAGAGAGTTCTAGAGACACGTTGACAGATTATTAGACCTGACTGTTATATCTAACCTAGCTGTAGAAGAACGCACATCTGCACAGTTTCACATTGTACATCACTTTGTCCTTTAATGATATGTGCCACTCATTCTGACAACCCATTCATCCGTAAAGCAGCACACTGTCGTAAACCATAACAACGTACAGTACGACGTACCATACATAACACTGACATGTCCTCATAAACTAATGGGCAATAATTTCTGTCTGTCTTCCACCAGCTGTTTGGCTGTGATGGAGTGTTGAAGTCTGGGAAGGTGGAGGATGTGTGTGGGGTGTGTGGAGGGGATGGCTCCTCTTGCAGTCTCACCTCTCAGTCTTACAGTGGTGGTCGGGCCAGAGGTAACGACTCAAATATCCCCATTCTTCAGTCTGGAGAGTGATAATTTCTACCTCCATCTCATTCCAGTAATGAAATTAGATTTTCCCTGCTTAATTGATTCTCAGAGTACGTCACATTTCTGACACTGCCAGTAAACGCCACTCAGGTTCACATTGTCAACAGGGCACCTGTCTTCACTCACCTGGGTGAGTATCTGGGGTGACCTTGGGTGGTTTGAAAATAAACTCCAAATCATATAAAGGGCAATAAGCAAGGTGTCTGGTGTTTTTATCCATAGCGGTGTTGATTGGGAAACAGTATGTTGTGTCTGGGAGTGGCAGCATAGCGTTAAACATCACTCACCCCTCTCCTCTGGAGGACGGTCGTTGGGTTTATCGTCTGTACCTGACCCCTGACCTCCTGCCTCTAATGGAGGAGCTGCTGCTGCCTGGAACTGTTACAGAGGAGACACACATACAGGTCAGCAGTGAGAGAGACATTCACAGACATGGCAACAGACACTCAAAGCATCAGAGGGGGCAACTGTGAGAAACACATATAGAATAGGAACAGTATCTCCCTCCACTATGCACACACAAATATGGAAGTTTACTGAATCCTCAAAAAAGAAAGGAATGTGAAATGTGTTTTTTGCTCATATAGGTCTATCGGAAATATGGAAAAGAATATGGAGAACAAACCAGTCCAAACATCACCTACCACTTTTATACTCCCATTAGTAATAATGCTTTTATAAAAGAGATACCCAGGGGCAAGTGGACTGTTGTTACAACATCCTGCTCTGTCACCTGTAGCTCTGGTAAGAGTCACTTTGAAGTTTTTATTTTTTACAAATTATTGTTGAATAAATATATTTAGTTTGTTTGTTGTGGTAGTACTTTAGGGCTTTCCAAATGTCACTGTTCTTAGAGATCCACTGTTCTCTCTTTTTCTTGTAGGCATACAGAAATCTATGTATGTCTGTATGGATGAAGACACTAAGGAGCATCTGGAGGAGGTCTACTGTGATTCAGTTCCCCTTCTCCTGCCTCAGCAGACAACCTGTCACCTCCCAGCCTGTCCCCCCAGGTGCACTACATTCACGGCACACTGTCACACCTAGACGCTTGAACATTCATCAAACTGATTGATCAATGTCCTGTGTTGTGTTCTCCAGCTGGGAGATGGGCGAGTTTAGACCCTGCAGTGCCTTGTGTGGTGGTGGAGAGAAAGTGCGTCCTGTGAGATGTGTTCAAAGGCAAGGAGCAGATGTCCTACAGGTGCCAGTTTCTGAATGTCCACAACACTCAGCCCCACAATCAGTGGATACATGCAACTTTCAACCCTGCCCTGCAAGGTACACATATTTGTATGATCAAATACAATATGTGCATGAAGCAAACAAGGTCCAAGTAGGTTAAATGGCCCAGTACAGTGGTTACATTTACATATCCTTTTTTTGTGGATGTGTGTGACAGGTGGAATGCGTCAGAAGCTGGGGAGTGTTCAGCAGTGTGTGGGCCCGGAGTGGCCAAACGCGTTGTGACATGTGTGCGGTCCGAAGGTGGTCATGATGTTGAGGTGGACCATAGCTTGTGTTCAGGGCTCTTCAAACCACCTGTCTTAGTGTCTTGTGTGGTTGATGTCTGCCCTATTGGCTGGGAGTCTAAGGGACAGGTACAGCAGAGATCTATAATACATCTCATAAACGTGCACACAGAATTTTAAGATATCATACTGGAGAAGGTGGAGCTCTGACATCCATTGATTTGTCTTTACCAGGATCAACCTATACTTAACAAATCCCCTGGTTTAAGGCAACGCTCCAGGTACCTAACAGTGTATGTTTGGAGCCCTGTGATAGGCCAGTGCTCAAAGACCTGCAGAAATGGTAAGTGAGACCAGATAATTCCTTCATTTTTTACAAAGACAATGTGGTCAACACAAGCCTTATACAGTTGAAGTCGGAAGTTTACATACACCTTAGTCAAATACATTTCAACTCAGTTTTTCACAATTCCTGACATTTAATCCTAGTAAAAATTATGTGTCTTAGGTCAGTTAGGATCACCACTTTATTTTAAGAATGTGAAATGTCAGAATAATAGTGGAGAGAATAATTTATTTCAGCTTTTATTTCTTTAATCACATTCCCAGTGGGTCAGAAGTTTACATACACTCAATTAGTATTTGGTAGCATTGCCTTTAATTTGTTTAACTTGGGTCAAACGTTTCGGGTAGCCTTCCACAAGCTTCCCACAATAAGTTGGGTGAATTTTGGCCCATTCCTCTTGACAGAGCTGGTGTAACTGAGTCAGGTTTGTAGGCCTCCTTGCTCGCACACAATTTTTCAGTTCTGCCCACAAATAGTCTATAGGATTGAGGTCAGGGCTTTGTGATGGCCACTCCAATACCTTGACTTTGTTGTCCTTAAGCCATTTTGCCACAACTTTAGAAGTATGCTTGGGGTTATTGTCCATTTGGAAGACCCATTTGCGACCAAGCTTTAACTTCCTGACTGATGTCTTGAGATGTTGCTTCAATATATCCACATAATTTTCCTTCCTCATAATGCCATCTATTTTGTGAAGTGCACCAGTCCCTCCTGCAGCAAAGCACCTCCACAGCATGATGCTGCCACCCCCGTGCTTCACGGTTGGGATGGTGTTCTTTGGCTTGCAAGCCTTCCACTTTTTCCTCCAAACATAACAATGGTCATTATGGCCAAACAGTTCTATTTTTGTTTCATCAGACCAGAGGACATTTCTCCAAAAAGTACGATCTTCGTCCCCATGTGCAGTTGCAAACCGTAGTTTGGCTTTTTTTTATGGAGGTTTTGGAGCAGTGGCTTCTTCCTTGCTGAGCGGCCTTTCAGGTTATGTCGATATAGGACTCGTTTTACTGTGGATATAGATACTTTTGTACCTGTTTCCTCCAGCATCTTCACAAGTTCCTTTGCTGTTGTTCTGGGATTGATTTGCAGTTTTCGCACCGAGGTACGTTAATCTCTAGGAGACAGAACGCATCTCCTTCCTGAGCGGTATGACGGCTGCGTGGTCCCATGGTGTTTATATTTGCGTACTATTGTTTGTACAGATGAACGTGGTACCTTCAGGCGTTTGGAAATTCCTCCCAAGGATCAACCAGACTTGTGGAGGTCTACACATTTTTTTCTGAGGTCTTGGCTGATTTCTTTTGATTTTCCTGTGATGTCAAGCAAAGAGGCACTGGGTTTGAAGGTAGGCCTTGAAATACATCCACAGGTACACCTCCAATTGACTCAAATTATGTCAATTAGCCTATCAGAAGCTTCTAAAGCCATGACATCATTTTCTGGAATTTTCCCAAGCTGTTTAAAGGCACAGTCAACTTAGTGTATGTAAACTTCTGACCCACTGGAATTGTGATACAGTGAATTATAAGTGAAATAATCTGTCTGTAAACAATTGTTGGAAAAATTACTTGTGTCATGCACAAAGTAGATGTCCTAACCGACTTGCCAAAACTGTAGTTTGTTAACAAGACATTTGTGGAGTGGTTGAAAAACGAGTTTTAATGGCTCCAACCTAAGTGTATGTAAACTTCCGACTTCAACTGTACATGTGTAGGTACCCTGCAGGTGTGGTTTTCATGTGTGGACCACCAGACCAGGCTAGGGGTGCCTGAGGTCCACTGTGATGCCTTCAGCAAACCAGAGCCTCACACAGAGTCCTGTAACCCTTTCCCTTGCCCTCCCATGTGAGTCCATCCTTTCAAATACAAGAATGATTGCTCTGTCATAGCAGGGTAACAGCAGTGTGTTTCCAATGCAGGTGGCGCTACAAGCAGGGAGTGTGCAGTGTGTCGTGTGGAGGAGGCGTGGCCCATAGGGTGCTGTACTGCTCACAGGAGACCGAGGGAGATGAGGAGGTGGTTGTGAACAATACAGAGTGCAGTAGCATGACCAAACCCATAGCAGTGGTCAGATGCAACTCCAACAGCTGCCCAGCCAGGTAAACGGTAAACACAGACACTGAACACTGGCTGGAAGATCAGGGTAAAAAAGATAATCTAAATGTGGAATTCACCACCCATGGATTTCAGTTTGTCTTGAATGCTATGTGAGTGTCAACAGACAGTGCCATATAGAGATTTCTATATGTATTGCTGGGTGTAAATAAACTTGAACTTGATATAATACTGTCCAGGTGGAGAGTGCTGAGGACGGGGGCCTGTTCTACGTCCTGTGATCTGGGGGTAGCCAGGAGGCATGTCTCCTGTGTTGAGTATATCCATGGAGAGGACAGTGAGGTGTCTGAGGAGAGGTGCCATGCAGCCGTTAAACCTGCTACCACAGTACCCTGTCTGGTGCAGGTGTGCACCTTCAGATGGGACGTGAAAGACTGGAATCAGGTAGGTACAGTGAGAGGTGCAGACCAATGATACATATGACATGAGCTGGCAGATGCAGTGATCTACTGTAAATGGTGATCAGCTGTGTTTTCATACATTAGTAATTTATACATTATGTAGATGTACTGTTGACTAACTTTTCTGTTGTCTCTCAGTGTTCAGTGCCATGTGGGTATGGGATCCAGTCTAGAGCAGTGTCCTGCATGGGACCCACTAAGCCTGAGCCCCTCAGCCCACTGCTCTGCATGCACATGCCAAAGCCCATCACCATCCGGGGCTGCCAGATGGACGACTGCAGGGTCTTAGAGAAGACTAGTCCCCTCACCCACACACACACCACCAACGCCCCCTCACTAGAGACCAGGGACCAGTTAACCAGTTTCCAGGGCATGGAGGTCACTCCCACGGATGAGGAGCCACTCCTGTCTCATACTCTCAGCCTGACCCAGACACCCCCGACTGCAACAGAACTGACCACCCCACAGACCACCACAGCCATGCCCTCCGTGACCCCAAAAACCAGTAAGGTGGCAGAACTCTCTGCTTTTTAGCACTCATCAGAATAGGCATAAACCAAGCATTGAGAGAGCTCCATCAGCTAATGTAATAGTTATCTACTGTGTGTTGCTATCTAGGTCTGTGTGGGCAGCTTCTGCTGGAGGAGTCAGGCACAGTGGACCTGAGACATGAGACAGGTCGCTGCATCCTGTCCATAGGCCGGCCCCTGGATGAGGTCATCCACATGAAAGTAGTGTTCAGCTCCCTAAGCTGCAAGAAAAGTGAGAAAAGCTATAATACCCTTTTTACTGTCTATCTATGGCAACCGAAATGGACAACAATAACCCTGTGTGTGTGTGTGTGTGTGTGTGTGTGTGTGTGTGTGTGTGTGTGTGTGTGTGTGTGTGTGTGTGCGTGCGTACATGCGTGCGTGCGTAGGGGAGTATGTGGCATTCTATGACAGGCTGGTACTGGTCAGGAAGTGTGACCAGCTTGAGGACACTGAACTGACCTCCAGGACCAACGTCCTGCTAGTACGCCAGAATCTCTTGTCCCCCGGAAACGGAGTGCTGCTCACTTACAGCAGTCAGAAGAACACCAAAAAGAGTCACCACCAGGGTAACATTGAGATGCTACTGTATGGGCTAGAACAGAAGGCAGAGTGGCATGTTGTTACAGAGCTGGAATAATAGATTTTTAGAAGGACATATTATTTGGTTAATTTAATACTTACCCACATGCTTCTCACTGTTGCTCCTACAGACTGTGATGTCCAGCTGTTTGCTCCCAGCGGGGTCATTGAGAATCCAACGATGACCTCAGTGTTGGGCAGTCACACCTGTCGAGTCCTCATCAACGCCCCTCCCTCAGTGAAGATTAGGATCCGGGCTCTGAGCATGGGCCCTGTCGTCAACAGCACAGCAACCCAGTCCACCTTCATTATGGTCAGGGAGTAGGGAGACTGTTCTCTCTTGCTTTTCAGTATATTCATCAATGTAAACTAGTTGAGTGTACATTAAATCTTGAATGTTGACATGTATGCCATTGTAGATAACATTATGCCTCTAATACCATCTACATTAGATACAAGATGTAGACGTCTTGAAGACCAACGTGTTCAAGGGCCAACAGCTTTTTGACTGGCGATCAGCTGGAAACATGGTGGAGATAGAATTCCATGGCGAGTACCTGCATAGCAACGGGAGCTTCCGAGCGGAATACTCATTTGTGGAGCCTTGATCCATGGCTCGCATTGGCTCGCATTTCTATTATACAGTATTTAACAAGACAGGAATTTAGGCAGTTCCTGGAGAACAATTTGTCCTTAGTTTAATCAGTATTGTCAGAGTTTTGTAACATTAAAATAAATGATTATCATCACAGCAGTCTGTCTTATTTTTTGGGGGGTGGGGATTTGGTATATAAAACATTTACTAATGTAGATCACAGCAGAACCACTCAGCAACTCATCATTATGGCACATTTGGTATAGTATGGCACACATTTTCAGAACTTAAATAACTTACAACTGTTTGAACGTATTTTATAAATATGAAATAACAAATATGTAAGTAAACAAACTGAATAAACACATTTATAGAATCCCACAAAAATAAATGATAAGACAGCGCCAACATACTGTGACTTTTAAATATAACTTAAAACAGACAAATGTACTCTCTTAATTCGATCACTCTGTTGTTGCAGACATTTTTCCTGCGCAGCTTTCTAAAGTTTTCAATTTCCACTTTAAAATGTCAGACTTGATTTATCCTAACAAAAAAATTGATCAACCTCTACAAAAATGTACCTTCATTATAATGCACATACTAATTCACATTTCCTGTTGCTGCAGGATTATTGTCCTGCTGTGAGAAACTGGTCAAATTAAGATAGTACACCTGTAATAGAGTACAGTCTCTGCCTTGATCTGGTGTGGATCTTTCTTTGACATACGGCACTTCCTATTTGGAAAAGGATACACCCATTTCATTCAACATTATGTATAACTTTCCATCAGTCATACTCGCTTTACAGTCTTATAGTATTTTGCATATTTCAGGACTTTCTCTCCTACATGACCTTCCCTCCCACACTCATATCAAGTGGGCCCAAAGCTTCCCAAGGCCCACCTAACGCAGTGCAAAGTGCATCTCCTCTCTCCATGTTACAGAACTAGATACAGTACACCCAGGTGGCTTTAGTTTCCCCCACTACCTCCAGCACAGGTTCAGTTCCACACAGCCCTACAGAGGAGCCATGTCCCCTGTGGGGCCTCAGTGCTTGGCCTTAGCTGTGTCCTCCAGCAGAGACCTCATGTCTCTCAGAGCCTTCTTCACAGCCCGGCCAAAGTTGGCAGCATGCGTCTCTTCACAGCTGTTGAAGGCTGTAATGGCAATGTTGATGTGGTCTGCCATGGGGTTGTAACACACTCCGTAGCCATCCGGCACCAGTGGACCGAAGCACATCACACAGTCTGTCTTGGCACCAGCCTGGAGAAGTGAAACATTACCTTTAGCATGTACAAATGTGGGCCAAACCTAATAAACACATTATTACCAAACCACTGTCTACAGGTCTGCAATTTGTCCTGTTATATGTTGTATATTGGGATGTTTAATATCTCACATAAACAGCCTTCATACCTGGCTGGTGGAGAGATTGGGATGCTCAGCCACAGCATAGGCTGTATCCATGAATATCTCTGGCATGGACGTCAGTTCTTCAATCGCCTGCAACTTCAGGCCAAGGAGATGTCTGTCTATGGCCTGGCCATGAATTGCCTGCTCATTATGACATACACAAAATAAATGTACAAGCATGGATTAATACAGTACATTTAGATTTTAATCAAAAACCTATGCATAGTTCAAGTCCTCACCATGCGTGTGTATTCTACGTGGGCTTGGCATGCCTTGTCCAATAGAGCCACCTTCTCTGTGTTCTGTCAACATATGGGATAAACATCCATCATTACAGTAGAGTGACAGTCAGGGGTTAGTGTTTATTTACTGTCAACATCCAGGTTTCAGAGTTGACCTACCGGTTTAGCTGGGTCCTCCATTGCCTGGACAAATTTGAGAGACTCATTGGAGCAGGAGCGGATGGTGTCTGTTCGACCAAGTGCAAACATACGCAAGGATGCACTCTCATAGGTGGAACAGCACATCTTATACATTCTGAAACATGAAACAGCAATAAGTCTCATTTGTGTCAGGTTAAGGTAACCCAACTGCTGTTTCAGATGTTGACTGTTTTGTTAGAGTAAAAATGTAATGAAACCCACCGGAAGTAGGCAAGCTGTAGAGCCATTTGTATAAAGGCATCTGGACTCATCTTGTGCGCCTTTGGAACATTTCTCCCATAGTCAGCAAAGTAGACCACATTCACATCCAAGTCGTGCGACATTCTGGTAAATGAAAGAGTAGCCAAAGAGTGAGAAACACTTCAAAGATATGTTTGAATGGAAACTGCTAGGAACACAAACAGACTCTACTTGCATGTTCATATTCTGTTTGGCCGACTCAATATCCTTCTTGACCTCAGGTGTGATGTTGAAACGCAGTTTGGGAGGCATGGGCAGAGGGATCATGGGAGCGCGTACTACCTCCATCCTTCCCCTGTTTAAACAACACCAAACATTATACTTCAAGAGAGGCAGGGTCACATTCAGTTGAAGGCCAGGGTCATGATTCCAGCTTGGTCATGATTAGTGGGTTCCAAATGGTAGTAAAAATAATTTTGAAATGGATGAGGCACTATCTAAACGTGACAAATAGTAAACCTTCAAAATGCTTGCTACACTCAGGCATAACGCACCTGATCTGGTTGGAAAAATAGCCATTGCAACCATAGCAACCAGCAACCTGTGCCGACCTTCTTATCTATAGTAAACAATGACCTTGGTAGTGCTATGTACCATTAATCAATGAATGAAATAAAGATATTCTGTAACGCCTTACATGTACTCAACCAAATAGTCCACCAGGAACACAATGGGTGGGCCTTCAGCTGGGGCATGCTCATACACCAGACCACAGGTACCATCTTCACCCACAATAAACTGGGGATTGAATAATAAACGTTATAATAATAAGACTTAAAATACATTTATGAATAAAGTAGAATAATGCAAGAGACACTTGTGAATAAAAATATGAACATGAAATAAAATATCTGGGAGGATGTAAGCTTTGTTCTACAGCTCTAGTCTCAGAGCTCACCTGTAATGTCTTATCAAACCAGCGGTTGCCACTGTTCCAGCGACTCCCTCCACCATGCAGCATCTGGGCAGCGACGCGGCTCTGGTAGCGCTGCTCAGACATCTGTGGCATGGGGGCGTCTAGACACACCGTGAATATGCTCTTCTGGATAGCACGGACAGACTCCTTATTTGTCTTGTCTAAGGAAGAAAACGATACAATGAGCAACCTACAAGGACCTTGAGGAAAGCATCGACCAATATCTACAAAACAGTGTGTCCAAAGTGATAGGTTGCAACCAGTTACTCTTATGTTATGGCTCAAGGCTGGGTTATGACTAGGGTTTTGTTTATTTGGTGGGTCACTCCATGCGCTCCAAAGACCCTTCTCTGCCATTCAAGGCTCTCCCTGGCCTCACCCTTGATGAGGTTGTTGTAGGCCTTGCCCCAGGTGTTGCGGTGCTGGGAAGTCAGGATGCCGATAGGCTCCTTGTTGCTCTGCAGGGATGAGTTCCAGATCTTCTCCAGTTGCATGTAAATCTGGTCCACCGTCAGTGGGGAGCCATCACTGTTATACACATCCAGGACAAAGAACTGAGGACAGAGGGAGAAGGTTAGTCAGCATTTGAGGTTCTGGTTAAGTGGGTTACAGCCAATAAACTAACAATGCAACAATGTGATTGATTTCCTCTCTGTTTTGTAACAACATAAAGCAGCATCAAAGAGAGAAAAGCAAAGCAATAGCACACCCTAGTGTACCTGGAAGTTATGGACCACAGTGATGTGAGTAGGGGCCACTTTCCCGATAGCGTGGTTGACCACAGTGTCTCTCTTTGGTCCAGGGATACGACAGGAGGACAGTATCTGGTAGTACTGGTCCATACACAGAGGCTTCCCACCCAAATACTCAATAGGTAGGGTCTCACTGTGACACAGAGTTAGAGAGTCAACTGGGGTGACAAATACATATTAGATGTATATAATTAAAATAGATAATATTTTCTATATCCATATTACTCACTTGTCAATCATTTGTTTGAAGTCCAAAACTCCTGAAATCAATTTAGCAGCAAACCTGAGCAGAAAACATTGATTTACATTTTAGTAGACAATCTTATCCAGAGCGACTTACAGGAGCAATTAGGGTTAAGTACCTTGATCAAGGGCACAGACAGATTTTTCAACTAGTCGGCTCAGAGATTCGAATCAGCAACCTTTCGGTTACTGGCCCAATGCTCTTAACTGCTAGGCTACCTGCCACCCTATTGATTAATTAAGTATGATACCTTATATGGTATTTCCTCATCCAACTGAGATTCAGCCTTTTACCTCTACAGCATTTCATGTTCTATTCACATAATCAACTCCAATAAACTTTAGTGCACCATTGTTTTCCATGTCCTCAAATCTCCAACCAGACTTGCTTAGCATGTCCGACTTAGAACCATGATTATTATAACAAACATCTGTCTATCTTTCCTCTGTAGCTCAATTGGTAAAGCATGGCGCTTGTAATGCCAGGGTAGTGGGTTCGATCCCCGGGACCACCCATACGTAAAAATGTATGCGCAGACTGTAAGTCGCTTTGGATTTTTCTTTGATTCTATATCTCTGCATTTATTGAACTGTCTGTGTCACTCTAGTCTAGTGAATAAGATGGTGTACATTACAGTACAGTATATTGTTGAATCATTGACTTTTCATATGAGCACTGAAGTCTGCGCTAGTATCATATTCTACTGCATGTGTTTGGCACTGTCCGCAATGTTGATTGCGTATGTGGGTCACCGCGGTCCAAAAAAGCTGAGCAATGCTATGAGCAGCCAATGTGCTTAAAATAGCCAGCATGAAGGGGGAGTCTGTCTAAAGGTCATCTGAACCTCAAGCTTATTCTTAAGTTCAACAGAGCAATGGTGAATTACAACACTGAAGTCAATCACTTTCTACTAACTTGCTTTTGAAGAAGCAGTAAGCCTATAAAATGTCATTTTCACTGATCGGTAGGACAGCCCCAAGATGTTTTAGTGCTGGAGGGAGGGTGGGCATCTACTGTATAATCTCGTAGCAATGGCTGGTACAGTGGTTTCAGACATACATGGTTCCTTGTTGCTCACCTCATCTGTCCTTGGCGATCTTGGAAGGTCATGCGGGGCAGGACCACCCCAGGGCTGGAATAGACCGCCACTGGCATCCGGGAATCCAGATAGGCTGACTGCATCCACCACTCTGTGAGCTGCAAAAACATCCACAAACAGCCATGATAACGCTATACAGTCGTGGTCAAAAGTTTTGAGAATGACACAAGTATTGGTCTTCACAAAGTTTGCTGCTTCAGTGTTTTTAGATATTTTTTGTCAGATGTTACTATGGTATACTGAAGTATAATTACAAGCATTCCATAAGTGTCAAGGGCTTTTATTGACAATTACATTAAGTTTATGCAAAGAGTCAATATTTGCAGTGTTGACCCTTCTTTTTCAAGACCTCTGCAATCCGCCCTGGCATGCTGTCAATTAACTTCTGGGCCACATCCTGACTGATGGCAGCCCATTCTTGCATAATCAATGCTTGGAGTTTGTTAGAATTTGTGGGGTTTTGTTTGGCCACCCGACACTTGAGGATTGACTACAAGTTCTCAATGGGATTAAGGTCTGGGGAGTTTCCTGGCCATGGACCCAAAATGTTGATGTTTTCTTCCCCAAGCCACTTAGTTATCACTTTTGCCTTATGGCAAGGTGCTCCATCATTCTGGAAAAGGCATTGTTCGTCACCAAACTGTTCTTGGATGGTTGGGAGAAGTTGCTCTCTGAGGATGTGTTGGTACAATTCTTTATTCATGGCTGTGTTCTTAGGCAAAATTGTGAGTGAGCCCACTCCCTTGGCTGAGAAGCAATCCCACACATGAATGGTCTCAGGATGCTTTACTGTTGGCATGACACAGGGCTGATGGTAGTGCTCACCTTGTCTTCTCCGGACAAGCTTTTTTCCGGATGCCTCAAACAATCGGAAAGGGGATTCATCAGAGAAAATGAGTTTACCCCAGTCCTCAGCAGTCCAATCCATGAACCTTTTGCTGTCCCTGATGTTTTTCCTGGAGAGAAGTGGCTTCCTCGCTGCCCTTCTTGACACCAGGCCATGCTCCAAAAGTCTTCGCCTCACTGTGCGTGCAGATGCACTCACACCTGCCTGCTGCCATTCCTGAGCAAGCTCTGCACTGGTGGTGCCCTGATCCCGCAGCTGAATCAACTTTAGGAGACGGTCCTGGCGCTTGCTGGACTTTCTTGGGCGCCCTGAAGCCTTCTTCACAACAATTGAACCTCTCTCCTTGAAGTTCTTAATGATCCAATAAATGGTTGATTTAGGTGCAATCTTACTAGCAGCAATATCCTTGCCTGTGAAGCTCTTTTTGTGCAAAGCAATGATGACGGCACGTGTTTCCTTGCAGGTAACCATGGTTAACAGAGGAAGAACAATGATTTCAAGCACCACCCTCCTTTTAAAGCTTCCAGTCTGTTATTCTAACTCAATCAGCATGACAGAGTGATCTCCAGCCTTGTCCTCGTCAACACTCTCACCTGTGTTAACGAGAGAATCACTGACATGATCTCAACTGGTCCTTTTGTGGCAGGGCTGAAATGCAGTGGAAATGTTTTTTGGGGATTAATTTCATTTTAATGGCAAAGAGGGACTTTGCAATTAATTGCAATTCATCTGATCTCTCTTCATAACATTCTGGAGTATATGCAAATTGCATTCATAAAAACTGAGGCAGCAGACTTTGTGAAAATTAAGATTTGTGTCATTCTCAATACTTTTGACCACGACTGTAGACCATCAACATGACATATACTGTAGACCATCAACATGACATATACTGTAGACCATCAACATGACATATACTGTAGACCATCAACATGACATATACTGTAGACCATCAACATGACATATACTGGAGACCATCAACATGACATATACTGTAGACCATCAACATGACATATACTGTAGACCATCAACATGACATATACTGTAGACCATCAACATGACATATACTGTAGACCATCAACATGACATATACTGGAGACCATCAACATGACATATACTGTAGACCATCAACATGACATATACTGTAGACCATCAACATGACATATACTGTAGGTGTATAAATGATATAATACAGGTATCTGTTCCTGCCAATCAACCCAGATCAACCCAGTGCTCTGCCCTACTAAGTACCCATCTCTGCTCCCTCTGCTCTATGTGACGAGTTCTGTTCTATGACAGTACCCACCCAGTTTTCTTTGTTGCTGGCTCTGCGCTCCAGGCTCCTCTGCAACCTGTCTCCCACCCCCTCAGGAATGAGGAACTCCTTGACTAGCTTGCGTGTGTGATCCATCTCCTCCTCACTGAGCAGGGGCTCCAGCATCAACAGGTAGTGCTCAAATGTCTGCCTTAGTGGAGGCACGGGCAGCTTGGGCAAATTGTCCTGGTGATGCGAGGATCTCTCTGGGAGGATGTTCACTGACATCGGCTTGACCAGGCGACATGGCTTCACCAAGCCCGGCCTTAGCTGAAAAAATAAATACTGTGTCATTGCATTTCTAATAAATCATTTGTTTTGCATTCGATATGACATATTGAAATACCATTCATACAGTATCTAGGTTGATATTTTGTGTTTTAAAGTATCTAAAATATTAAGTTGATAATCCCATTGGCATATAAAATATATCAGCAATGTTGGGTGAACACCACAGAGCTGATTTGTAGCCCTACTGGCCAGCAACTGTCAACAACCTGATACATACTGTAGGTTTGTTAAAATAGAACCCTCTAACGCAATGGTAAATCTAAGCGCTGCCGGTAGTGCTATAGGTCCGGGGTTGTGACAGCAACAGTAAAAAAAATAATCTGTTTTTGCTCCAAGGTTATTATAGTAAATGAATACTGAAACTAAAATAAAAAATACAATTGGAAAAACTATTTAGTAAACTTAAAAAATAAATAAAATAAAAACATTTAAAAAGCTAAAACTATAGTGAAACTATTATCTTTGACTGCAAAACGAACTAAAATAAAATAGAAAACATCATCAATTGTTTTTTTTGTTTTTTTTTTAATCTAAACTTTGGACAAAAATCTAATGGGGTTTTCGAGCTTCTGAATCTGGCGGGTAAATGCTGCCAGTAGATGCCAATGTTTCAAATAGGCCTAGTTTGTGCGTCACTATCACTAGCTATCACTAGCTAACAGGGAAGAAATCCTAGGGCGAGCACGGAGCGTGACTGGGCCAAGCTAGAACAGCTTGTGAAGTTGCTGGAGCCGTTCGCAATCCATGCCGACCAACTTCAAACAGGCACACTTGCGGTCAACTACTTTTGCAAAACAGTTGGCGCAGGTCCTCCTGAAGTCACTGTGTGAGCGCTTCGCATGCATACTGAATCCTCTGATAGCCAACTGCGATCCAACCCCTGCAGCAGCTTGCCTGATGGACCCAAGTGTGTCTCTGGCACTTCGCTCAACAGAGATGGAGCCCCTGATTAGGGAAGCAGAGTATTTTGTACTTCAGAAAATCAGAGAGTTCAGCCATGGAGCAGGACCCCAGGAAGATGCCAGCACGATGAATCCAGCAAGCATCTCGACCACAGTGCTTCAGAAATATAGCTTCCTCGCATCGAAGATTGCGTCTGAGGGTCAACCTGGCAGGGCATTAAGTGCCCCATGTGAGCTGCGGAAATACCTGGAAGACGTAAAGGGGGGCATGTTTACAGAATCACCTCTCAAGTTCTGGCAGGCAAACTGTGCCCAGTGGCACTGGATCTGGTTTATGTCCCTGCATCCCAAGCGTTGGTGGAGAGAATATTCTCTGTCTGTGGACAACTGTCATCAGGCTTGAGAAACGGAACGACCACCTCTCTGGAATGCAGAGTCTTCTTGAAGATAAGCCAGAAAATCTTGTTTGGTTGAAGAGAAACGCACACACAAGCTGGCTGGCTGTGAACTGACAGATTTGTGAAGAAGTATTGTATTGCTTATGTTTTTTGCTGTTGTTGCAGCTGTTTTTATTAACACTTTTTGAAGGGGTTAGTCAATGATTCATGTTTAATATTACATAAACATAACATATCAAATGGGCCATGACTTCATTTGTTGTTTTTTCCTCTCTCTGTCTGTCAGATAAAGGTAAAGGTACTTATTGTTCTAACATTTACTTAGTTAAAAAAGAATTGGATTGGTGTAAACATGGGCAAGAGAGTTTCCTTCCACCATATTTCTTGCACCAGTCTAGGCGCTTATTCTTTAAATCCAAGTCACATTAGGATTGATTTATCATTTATGTCCTTGCCATAAAGTTTTATGGAGTCCTCTAGTGGCCAAATGCCTGTGTTAGCATTGGCAGCTCTGGGCAAGACTTCCAACTTCCTTGACTGATCCTTCCTGATGACCCGGTTTGAGTCGTGACAGCTGGGTCATTAGGAGGATCAGCCAATTAATTTTACTTGAGAAGAAGAAAATTGACTATCTCAAGATGATGGCGTCAATGGTGCTGTCCATGCTCTCACAGACACCATCATGACACAGATACAGAGATGTTATGTCTATCCAAGTCTATGGTTCTGGCCAATCAACTTATGTATTACTGCCCCCCAGTGGCAAGAAGTGACATCCCCAAAAAACAAACTATAGGCCTACAACACATAAATGACTCCTAGCCTCCCACACATAGGCACATTTTGTGTCCTTAACACTAACACTAAAACTGAAACTAAATAAAAATGAGTAAATTAAGTCTGAAAACTAACTAAAACTAAACTGAATTTCAAAAAACATCACAAAAAACATCACAAAACTATAATAACCTTGGTTTGCTCAATATGTTTAGAGTGTTGACAGTCAACATTGTTGTAATTGGCTTCAACGAGTATAGGCCTTTACGAATCGCACTTCTCCTCAAATAAAAAATACTAGGTTCCCGTAAATTGTATTGTATGTGTGAGGCACATTCTAAATAAGCAAGATATAGCCTAGGCCAACCGTTGATATGGCGTTATGGGACTGAAAATGTTGAATAGCCTGTTTGGAAGAGCATGTCTTTGGTAACTGGACAAGAGGCGCACTTTGGAAATGGGGATGGATACAAGCCGAATGGAGTATGCACTGCAGGCAGGCCTATGTGAATTGTGAATAATGCAAAAGCATGTCGGCAAAAGCCTCACGAGTAGACCATTTAGAAACATTTTATGGATAGGCTCCATAGACAAACATTGGCAGTAGAATGGCCTTACTGTAGAGCTCAGTGACTTTCAACATGTCAGTTCATCACATTTCTGCCCTGCTAGAGCTGCCCCGGTCAACTGTAAGTGCTGTTACTGTGAAGTGGAAACGTCTAGGAGCAACAACTACTCAGCCACAAAGTGGTAGGCCACACAAGCTTACAGAATGAGACCCCCAAGTGCAGAAGTGTGTAGCACGTAAAAATCGTCTGTCCTCTGTTGCAACACTCACTATCGAGTTCCAAACTCCCTCTGGAAGCAACATCAGTACAATAATTGTTCGTCGGGAGCTTCATGAAATGGGTTTCCATGGCCGAGAAGCTGCACACAAGCCTAAGATCACCATGCGCAATGATGGAATGGTGGACTCTGGAGCAGTGGAAACACGTTCGTCCGACGGACGAATCTGGGTTTGGCGGAGGACAGGAGAACGCTACCTTCCCGAATGCATAGTACCAACTGTAAAGTTGGGTGGAGGAGGAATAATGATCTGGGGCTGTTTTTCATGGTTCGGGCTAGGCCCCTTAGTTCCAGTGAAGAGAAATCTTAAAGCTACAGCACACAATGACATTCTAGACGATTCTGTGCTTCCAACTTTGTGGCAACAGTTTGGGGAAGGCCCTTTCCTGTTTCAGCATGACAATGCCCCCTTGCACAAAGCGAGGTCCATACAGAAATGGTTTGTCGAGATCGGTGTGGAAGAACTTGACTGGCCTGCACAGAGCCCTGACCTCAACCCCATCGAACACCTTTGGGATGAATTGGAACGCCGACTGCGAAACAGGTCTAATTGCCCAACATCAGTGCCTGACCTCACTAATGCTCTTGTGGCTGAATGGAAGCAAGTCCCTGCAGCAATGTTCCAACATCTAGTGAAAAGCCTTCCCAGAAGAGTGGAGGCCATTATAGCAGCAAAGAAGGGACCAACTCCATATTAATGGTTTGGGAATGAGATGTTCGACGAGCAGGTGTGCACATACTTTTGGTAATGTAGTGTATATCTTATTCCATGTGCATATGGGCACTGTGCGTCACAGCTGCACTGCCGTTGTCAAAATCCATGCCATAACCAACCGGGTTACCGCTAAACCAGCTTTTGGTTGGTCTTAAATATCCCCACCAGCGCATACTGAAATTGACACTTTGGCGCACGTTTTTAAGGGCACAACTCAGATATTGCCACCCCTCCCACCTCAGAGCGAGCGAGCTCATATAAGACAGATAAATTACCAATCCTGGCGCTAGGGTTTGAAGAGCTTTAATGGATCAACATGTTTAATCAAATCTAATTTTATTGGTTGCGTACACAGTTTAGCAGGTGTTGTGACGGGTGCAGCGAGATGCTTATGTTCCTAGTTCCTATCAATCAATGCAGTAAATGTCAAACAAGCACACAATAATAAAAAATTCTAAAATAATAAAAATGTAGTACAGCAGTACATATATAAATAGCATGTAAACATGATTAAAGTGACCAGTGTTCAATGACTATGTAAATAGGGCAACAGTCCCAAGGTGCAGGGTTGAGTAACCGGTGGTAGCCGGCTAGTGAAAGTGACTTAGGGGCAGAGTAGGATACTGGGCAGAGGGCAAGGTACTAGGCTGAGGCCGTCTAGTGGTGGTTGTTTAACAGTCTGACGGCTTGGGGAAAGAAGCTGTTTATCAGTCTCTTGGTCCCAGCTTTGATGCACCTCCTCCTTCTAGATGGTAGTGGGGTGAACAGGCCGTGGCTCGGGTGGCTGTGGTCCTTGATGATCTTCTTGGCCTTCCTGTGACACCGGGTGCTGTAGATGTCCTGGAGGGCAGGCAGTGTGCCCCCGATGGTGCGTTGGGACCCTCTGGAGAGCCCTGTGGTTGCGGACAGTGCAATTGCCGTACCAGGCGGTGATACAGCCCAACATGATGCTCTCAATGGTGCATCTGAAGTTTGTGAGGGTCTTAGGGGCCAAGCTGAATTTCTTTAGCCTCCTGAGGTTGAAGAGGCGCTGTTGCTCCTTCTTCACCACACTGTTGGTGTGATGGGACCATTTCAGGTCCTCAATGATGTGCACACCGAGGAACTTACGTTTTTGACCCTTTCCGCTGCAGCACCGTTGATATGGATGGGAGCGTGCGCTCTATACTGTCTCCCGTAGTCCATGATCAGGTCCTTCGTTTTGTTGACGTTGAGGGAGAGGTTATTTTCCTGGCACCACGCTGCCAAGGCACTCACCTCCTCCCTGTAGGATGTCTCGCGTTGTTGGTAATCAGGCCTACCACTGTTGTGTCGTCAGAAAACTTGAAGATTGAGTTGGAGACGTGCGTGGCCACACAGTCATGGGTGCACAGGGAGTACAGGACGGGGCTGAGCACACACCCCTGTGGGGCCCCCGTGATGAGGATCAGCGTGGCGGAGGTGTTGTTGCCTACCTTCACCAACTGGGATCGGCCCGTCAGGAGGTCCAGGACCCAGTTGCACAGGGTGGGGTTCAGACCCAGGGCCCTGAGTTTAGTGATTTGGACGGCACTATGGTGTTGAAGGCTGAACTGTAGTAGATGAACAGCATTCTTACATAGTTATTCCTCAAATCAATCACATATTATTTGTCACATGCTTTGTAAGCAACATGTGTAGACTAACAGTGAAATGCTTACTTACGGGTCCTTCCCAACCATGCAGAGAGAAAAAAGAGAAATAATTGAAAAACAATAATACAAGGAATAAATACACAAGGAGTAACGATAACTTGTCTATATACACGGGGTACCAGTAACGAGTCAATATGCAGGGGTACGAGGTAATTGAAGTAGATATGTATATATAGGTAGGGATAAAGTGACTAGACAACAGGATAGATAATAAACAGTAGCAGCAGCGTATGTGATGAGTCAAAAGAGTTAGTGCAAAAAGGGGTCAATGCAGAGAGTTAAATAGTTAACCAAATAGCTACCCAGACAAACTATTTAGCAGTCTTATGGCTTGGGGGTAGAAACTGTTCAGGGTCCTGTTGGTTCTAGACTTGCATCGGTACCACTTGCTGTGCAGTAGCAGAGAGAACAGTCTATGATTTGGGTGGCTGGAGTCTTTGACAATTTTTAGGGCCTTCCTCTGAAACCGCCTGGTATAGAGGTCCTGGATACCAAGGAAGCTCGGCCCCACCCCAGTGATGTACTGAGCCGTGTAGCGCCGGATGCCAAGCAGTTGCCATACCAAGCGGTGATGCAGCCAGTCAAGATGCTCTCAATGGTGCAGCTATATAACTTTTTGAGGATCTGAGGGCCCATGCCAAATCTTTTCAGTCTCCTGAGGGGAAGAGTCATTGTCATGCCTTTTTCACAACTGTGTTGGTGTGTGTGGACCATGATGATTTCTTAGTGATGTGGACCCCGAGGAACTTGAAGCTCTAAACCCGCTCCACTAAAGCCCCGTCGATGTGGATGGGGGCGTGCTCGGCCCTCTGTTAGTAGTCCTCCTCTTGTCCAGGTGGGATAGGGAAGTGTGCAGTGCAATGGCGATTGCGTCGTCCGTGGATCTGTTGGAGCGGTATGCAAATTGTAGTGGGTCTAGGGTGTCAGGTAAGATGGAGGTGATATGGTTCTTAATTAGCCTCTCAAAGTACTTCATGATTACAGAAGTTCAATTACCTTCGCTTTCTTGGGTACAGGAACAATGGTGGACATATTGAAGCAAGTGGGGACAACAGAGTGGGATAGTGAGCGTCTTCTAAATGACTAAAATGTCAAATGTAAATGTAGTCAGCTGGTCTGTGCATGCTCTTAGGACACGGCTTGGGATGCCGTCTGGCAATTGCAATTGCGCTGGCTTACCACCAGCTGAAAATAGAGCCCAAAGGGTCCAGGCTGTTGCAACAGAAACCATAACATAATAAAACAGACATAAGGTTACACAAAGTGATTAACATGCATTTACTTTAGTTTCTATTTAAACAGGTGTGATCAGTATAATTCTGTATGAATCCAAAAACCAATGCAAAAACTAGATTGCTAGGGCACTGTATGAGCTATTTTTATGACTAAGAAACTTGAGACCAAAACAACTCTGTCAAGTTTAGTATGTTGTTACACTATTTGTTTCGACTGTGTGCTTGGTTGTCAAGTTTCCTGACAGCTTCTTCAGGTTAGAATTTACACTGAGAGTACAAAACATTAGGAACACCTGCTCTTTCCATGACATAGACTGACCAGGTGAATCCTGGTGAAAGCTATGATCCCTTATTGATGTCACCTGTTTAATCCACTTCAATCACTGTAGATGAAGAGGAGGAGACAGGTTAAACAAGGATTTTTAAGCCTTGAGTCAATTGAGACATGGATTGTGTATGTGTGCCATTCAGAGGGTGAATGGACAAGACAACATATTTAAGTGCCTTTGAACGGGGGTATGGTAGTAGGTCCCAGGCGCACCAGTTTGAGTGTGTCAAGAACTGCAATGCTGCTGGGTTCTACTACACTCTGTGAACCCTTGCAATGAAGGGAGAGATCTGTACTTTTCTTGAGTATTTACATTTTTGAAAACTTTTACTCCACTACATTCCTAACGAAAATATGTATTTTTGAATCACATACATTTTCCCTGACACCCAGAAGTACTCACTTTCATTTCGAATGCTCAGGCAGGTCAGCAATATTGTCCAATTGCCGCACTTAGCCTATCAATATAACGCGTTGTCATCACTACTGCCTCTGATCTGGCAGACTCACTAAACACAAATACTGCGTTTGTAAATTATGTCTAAGTGTTAGTGTGCCTCTGGCTGTCAGTAAATAAAAAAAATAAAAAATTGTGCGTCTGGTTTGCTTAATGTAAGGAATTTGATTCATGGCATTTACTTTTACTGTTACTCATGTATGACAATTAGCCTACTTTTTCCACCACAGTATTTAAGTACATTTAAAACCAGACACTTTTAGACTTTTACTCAAGTAGTATATTACTGGGTGACTCACTTTTACTTTAGTCATTTTCTATTAAGGTATCTTTACTTTTACTCAAGGTATGACAGTTGAGTACTTTTTCCAACACAGCAAACACATCTAAAAAGCAAGCTGTAGTCTATATTAAAATATTGTATGATAGTTTAACCCACTGTCCCTCAATGAAGTGTTATCAGTATTGATTTGATATAGACATGAACCTTGAAACGTTATCCATGTTGTAGCCTAATATAGAGACTCTGGTCTTTATTAGACTGGGGTAAATAGGTTACAGTATCCAAGCCATTCGATAGGATTTTCTTGGAAACATGCGGAGTGGCCTGGCTTGACATTGTAGGCTACTATAAGCTAATAACAGTAGCCTAACCTGGTTCCCCACACATTTACAGCAGTAATAGTGAACGCGCTGATCTCAGTTATGGGTGCACAATTGCGCATTTATGAATCATAAAAACGTTTGACTCACCACGACTCTCAAAAGAAGACCCAACATAATTTCATAAAAATGGCCCAGCGAGGCTTTGGTTGTTGTTAGTGTAAAGAAACACCTCGAGCTGTCATTTCAAGGACATAGCCTACGACTAAAGTTTCCCAGTCGAGAAGTTACTTAGTCATGTCGGACATCTCTACGCCCCCCTCCGGACATGATCGGAAACGATATAGCCTATGTCTACAGCTGGATACACTGTTGCCCATATTCAATCATACTGGCTTGATACGTAATTTACATTCACGCAGCTGGATACTTTGTAAATAACATGTATTATTTAGTTACCAAAATTATACTATCTTGCTTTGTGGAGGGACATCATTAAGTATGATGGCATGACACATAAATTATATAAGACATCTTTAAATAAAATTGTCTTGGTCTACACAGGCCTAATTAAAACAGACTATATTGCCCTATGAAATGCACACACCTGGTAATTTTTATAATTTCACGGGACTGATCATTATTTACTGTATAAAATAGGTGTAGTTATCATCTATTATCGCATGGTGGAGCTCGTTCTGCATCACACATTCGTGCAGGTCACATGAAGGCAACATGCTGGTGCAGGAGCAAGAAAGTGCCCTCTCCCCAAAAGTGATATGGAAGAGAGGAGGAGAGTGTTAAGTGTGTAAAAAATACTTATTTTATTTGAGACCAGCAATGGTGTGTAGAAAAAGTAAAAGTGTGTGGATCAAAAAGCTTCAATTGCTCTAGTCCATGCACCGCTGCCCGCCAATGCTTGTTTGCAACAGTTTGTTTGTCCATTGACTAGGCATATCTGTTCCAAGTCTGTTTGCCAGTTCAACAGCTCAGTAAACCCCGAGCCTAACACTGACATGAGATTGGAGATGTTATTTGTGTCCAGCTGTTCAGAATTACAACAATAAACGTCATCAGACCTAATCTGTTTGCATGACATGGGCAAACAGTCTGAAAGATAATCGGAATCAGAAACATAACTTGAGTCAATTTTTCGTTTCTTAGGTGAACTTTGCGGGCACTGTCCATGTTGTTTCAATGACGCGCAGTAGTCTGCGGGGAGATATCTATACTCGACAGTAGTCACCACATGTGTGTCCAAGTCCAACACAGTCTTTTGATTGTTGGGTGTGTTTGAAATAAGAATGTCCCGTTTGGATGTGTAAGGTTCCGAATAACAGTCCCAGCAGACTTCCGAGTCCATCAGGTTAGAGTCACAATGATGCACAGGAGCCATGGGACAGGCAGTTACCGTCTGGGTGTGCGCTTCGGGCACCATTGCTGGGTGGCCAGCCGACTGTGGCGCTGCGCAGTGGTTAGTCTCCAACGCATCCCCGCTGTAGTTGCAGCAAAACTCACCAGCTAGATCCTCACAGTTCCCGGTCAATTCAAAGGAGTCCTGCTTTTCATCAGAGACAGTCCTCATCTCCCCGTTCTGCTGTATGCTGTATATTCCTGCGAACTCCACGCTCATGTAAAAGTCTCTAGCGTTCTTCAGGACGTAGGTAACCAGCAGGTTCTTGTGGAGCTTGATACCTCCTCTCTGCGTCCTGGAGTTATGGATTTTCTGCAAAGAAATAGAGATCAGATTCTGTGCGTCAATGGCACATTCCTCCATCCTTAAAACTGTCCAACTGTTTTTCCCTGATTCTGGTAAAAAAATTAACTGTAATCTGTGTGTAAAAATACCAATAGAGTTTAACTAAATTCGTGGAGAAAATCTGAACATGCTTTCCCATCCTTTCTGGAAATGGGTATGACGCCCCTCATTGCTGTGAGGGATTTAAAGCCATCTCGCATAGGTTCCTCCCCCATTCCAGTTTCCACCAACAAAACCCCGGCGTTGTCAAAGACTGGCTTGCCTGCCACGCCTTGTAGTAGGTACTAACCAATAAGAGAGAGGCAGTTCTTCTACTACTCAAATATCTGTGTGCCAAAAGCGCACAGCGATGCGCAATTGCGCATAATGCATTAGTAGGCTACACTTTCATCTCCCCAACGATAATTTGTGGAAACCGGTTGTATTGCTGTTAATGCAATATATTACGTTTATCATCCAACATTTCATTTAATCAAATGACTTACTATTTCAACTCATCCAACATAGAGCTATATTGAATGAGATGTGCAGAAATTAATTGAATAATGAATTAATGAATCTGCCGCACCCGCACACACGAACACACACACACACACACACACACACACCGAGTTGCACATCTGCTGGTAGTAGACAGATGGAAGATATCATATTGGATACCTGCACAAGCCTTTCATGTTCTGCCAAATAGGTTACTGTAGAGGTAACCACTTAGTTGAAAAAATAACATAATTAAGGCTATTATGCCCTGATAAATCTGTAGGTAAAATGAGTAGTGTGTGATGGTATGTCTGTCAGTGTATAGCAGTGTTTAGGTGTGTATTTGTCAGAATGTCCAGGAACAGGAAATCAAATGAGTGTGACTCATTTTATCTGTCTTTGAACTTTGACACAAGGGATTTCCCCCACCCACAAGATGATCACTTGGTTTGCTATAGCCTCAGTCTTTCAAATACAACACACTGACAGAGATGGAGGCATGCAGTAAAGACCAGACAGCCTACTACCATTACACTCAAGTCAGTGTTGTTTGAGTTTTTAACTGTAATAAAGGATGGGAACTACAATTCCAACCTACAGTAGAGTAAAAAAAAGAACCCTGAATCCACCAGTGCTTGATTTAAAACAGTCAAATTCATCCACAGCCATTTTTTTTCTTTTTTCTTGACACTGACAATACAAATGTAAAGTCAGGGCACATACAGTGTATTCGGAAAGTATTTAGACCCCTTGACTTTTTCCACATTTTGTTACGTCACAGCAATATTCTAAAATTGATTCAATTGCTTTTTTCCTCATCAATCTGCACACAATACCACATTATGACAATGCAAAAACAGGTTCTTTGAAATGTTTGCAAATGTATTAAAAATAAACAACTGAAATGTCACATTTACATAAGTATTCAGACCCTTTACTCAGTACTTTGTTGAAGCACCTTTGACACGATTACAGCCTCAAGTCTTCTTGGGTATGACGCTACAAGTTTGGCACACGTGTATTTGGGGAGTTTCTCCCATTCTTTTCAGCAGATCCTCTCAAGCTCTGTCAGGTTGGATGGAGAGCGTCGCTGCACAGCTATTTTCAGGTCTCTCCAGACATGTTCGATTGGGTTCAAGTCCAGGCTCTGGCTGGGCCAATCAAGGATATTCAGAGGCTTGTCCCGAAGCCACTTCTGCATTGTCTTGGCTGTGTGCTTAGGGTCGTTGTCCTGTTGGAAGGTGAACCTTCACCCCTGTCTGAGGTCCTGAGCGCTCAATCCTGACTAGTCTCCCAGTCCCTGCCGCTGAAAACATCCCCACAGCATGATGCTGCCACCACCATGCTTCACCGTAGGGATGGTGCCAGGTTTCCTCCAGATGTGACACTTGGCATTCAGGCCAAAGAGTTCAATCTTGGTTTCATCAGACCAGAGAATCTTGTTTCTCATGGTCTGAGTCCTTTATGTGCCTTCTGGCAAACTCCAAGTGGGCTGTCATGTGCCTTTTATTGAGGAGTGGCTTCCGTCTGGCCGCTCTACCATAAAGGCCTAATTGGTGGAGTGCTGCAGAGATGGTTGTCCTTCGCCACAGAGGAACTCTGGAGCTCTGTCAGAGTGACCATCGGGTTCTTGGTCATCTCCCTGACCAAGGCCCTTGTCCCCTGATTGCTCAGTTTGGCCGGGCGGCCAGCTCTAGGAAGAGTCTAGGTGGTTCCAAACTTCTTCCATTTAAGAATGTTGGAGGCCACTGTGTTCTTGGGGACCTTCAATACTGCAGACATTTTTTGGTACCCTTCCCCAGATCTGTGCCTCAACACAATGCTGTCTCAGAGCTCTATGGACAATTCCTTCGACCTCATGGCTTGGTTTTTGCTCTGACATGCACTGTCAACTGTGGGACCTTATCTAGACAGGTGTGTGTCTTGCCAAATAATGTCCAATCAGTTGAATTTACCACAGGTGGACTCCAATCAAGTTGTAGAAACATAGCAACGATTATCAATGGAAACAGGATGCACCTGAGCTCAATTTTATTTTTTATTTTTATACATTTGTAAAAATGTCTAAAACAACCCTACGGATTCTCTGAATATCACAAAAATTCTGTTTCAGTTGTCTCTAGAGTGGACCCATTCCCAAAACGGCAGCTAGTTACAATACAATGCTACAGTCTGTTTTCACCTGTAGAGAAAATAGAGAGTTTACTGTCTCAGAGTGTCGTAGCAGACTGATCTCTGTGTAACAGGGAAGAGGGAAGGTGCCGAAAGAAAAAAAGATTGAGGCTGTTGGCCGGTAATTAAAGATGAACAATTACCTAAAAAAGAAAGAGTGGTTGGAGTATGGGGTACATGGTTGGTTGGTGTGTGGGTGGGTTGGGTGTGGGTGTGGTAATTATTACTCACCTAAATTCCACATTAGAATATTCACATCTGCCTACGGACGGTTTACGTGTGAGGGTGGAACAACAAGGAGAGAGAAGAGAGAGAGAGAGAGAGAGAGAGAGAGAGAGAGAGAGAGAGAGGGATGGAGGGAGGGAGAAGAGCAGGATAGAGATGGAGTGAGGCAGAAAAATGGTGTTGTATTAATATTTAACCACTCCAGGAAGCATCCTTATGATAGACAGCAGAAGAGGAAAAGTCAGATATATAATATTTATTGCAAATTGAATAGAAAGTTGTAAAGATTATATATAGACACAATTCCTCTGCCAATGCTACACTCCCATTTCAAAACGACCGAAACTCTAACAAAGACAGTGAAGGTCTTACATTAAGAGCACCAAACAAATGTACAATAGCATATTTTTTTGTAAACCTGTGGGTTCAATTATGGAGCTATAGAACCTGTCTTTGAACCATAATACACAGTGCAGTGTTTAATATTAACAACATCAGCCACTATAGCCGTTTTTTATTATATGAAAGGTGTATTGCAAGCGGCACATTCATAGGTTCTGAACCCTGGAAACAAACCCAAAACTTAATGAACAGGTTGGATTTAGCTTTTATAACCACAAAACGTAAATATATGAACAAATAGTAGAGCATTTACTATTGAAGTTCTTTGCTGTTACATGTG